ATACGGCGAGATCGTGCGACGTTGAGAAGCGCCATTACCGCCGGTGTCGCCGTCGGACTTCTTCTCTCCGGGAGTCGCCATCGATCGTAAAAAAATTACCTAAAAATTTTTAAGGCCCGAAGGCTCTGATACCATGAAAGATTTTGTATAGAAATTATATTTCCAAAACTGCTGTTTATGCCATCGGCTATCACATATATAGCCTTAGATTTACACAAGGAAACCTATTCAATATACACATCTACCATACATAAACTAGCTATAAAATAGGTAACAATATTAACAAGGAATGAAATCTCCGTGAATGGCGCCATGCATGCATACGGTGCTCCTCTATCTCCACAAATCATGCTAAGCCATATATTAAATACTCCCTCCGTCCATGTAAGATCTTCTCATTACGCGTTACGAGGCTTGACCGACTTTATTTTTAATTCAATTTAATTCATTATAGGAGTAAAATTATAAAATAAAATTTATATAGTAATAAACTACATGAAATGTTCTACAAAACTAGAGGTGGCAAGACTATATTATTTTATGAAATGACTAGTAAAATGAGCAAACAAAGTGGTTAAAGTTTGACCCTGTAAATAGTGTCTGGGAAGATCTATGGTGGACAGAGGGAGTAATATTTAATATATTATTCTCTAACACCAATTTAAATAGAACCCATTTATGTCGCATTGACACATACATACAAAAGCTCATCTTCTTTCTCACTTTATAATGCTCCTTCCTAATGATGACACCCCATCTCTGGGGGCTCTTCAACACTGGCCAGACAGTTAGCTGAGAGGAGATAAATTGAGATGCAATAAAATTGAAATAAAAATACAAGAAAAATGCTAGGGGTACACTAATTTTTGTACACCATTTTGGTGTACCCCTAGCATTCCTCCTTATTGGTCACTGCTCCCACTCGTCATAGTGTTAATCTTTTAATAAAACCAAAACCCATCTTTGTTATTAGAGGATTTCCAAGAGATATGCTAAATTTTGAGAAGTTAAATGCTATTTTAACTTCTCAGTAGTGATATTGAGATCTACTTTTTCACCAACTCTTCAACCATGTCTTTTTCTCTATATTGTTTTTTTTATACTTATGTAATATTTGAGTATATAAAATTAATTGATTTTTTTTATAGAATATGCCTTCATGAGCATTATTCAACACACCATCAAAGTAAGAACCCTAATTGTGCTTTCAACAAAGATTTCATTTACGTTCATGACTATGTTATACTCCATCCGTCCCATAAAGATACACACAGTTTGACTAAAATCGTAAAATAAGGAGTGATAATTTTGCGTTAACTTTCCTAAAATACCTTTGATGTGATGGATAAATGTAGGATGTAATGTGTAGATTATTAATAAAAATGTATGATGTGATAGGTAGAGTATAAAAACTAAGGGGTAAAAGTGATTTTTTAACAGGATTCTAAGGAGTAGCGCCCCCTTGGCGGGGGTCAAGGGGAAGCGCCCACGAGCGCCCCCCCACCGGCTGGGGTCGAGATGCTATGTTAAAAAGAGAGTACATATATTTTCATCAAAAATGGATAAGTAAAATAATTTTTAATAATTAAAATTCATCAAAAAGTGTAAAATTTGATAAAATCAATGACATACCACTATATGACATGTCATAAAAATAAGAACACCGATTAAATTACATAAAAAATAGGTAAATTCTTTCATGGACCTAAAGTCATTATATGACTTTAGTACATTTGTAGTACAAAAGAAGTAATTTTTTGAAAAAAGAAAATACCCACATACAAGCCCGTGAAAAATGTAAGAAGATCCACATTTTAATTGTAAATAATGAGAATATGTAAGCACCACTCAAAAAAGCAATGTAATTCTTTGAAGACATTGGTTCCCATGACATTGGGAACCAATGTCATGGGATGACCCGGGGGTTCTCCGTTGGCTCGTTCAAAAAATTGACGGTTCCTACCCTCCTAATCCCTCCCCCCTCGGTAAACCCCCCACCTTTCCCCGACCAGAACACACCCCCACCCCCTCCATTTGCATCCTCAAGTTAATTTTGACTTTGGAGTCAAATTTTGACGTCAAGTCAAAATTAACTTGGGGATGCAATTGAAGGGGTGGGGGGTGTTCGGATCGGGACGAGGTGTGGAGGGTGTTCATGGATAAGAATCGTCATTTTTACGAATGGAGCACCGGAGCAATCTCGGATCATTACATGACATTGAGAACCAATATCATAGGAAGCTTCTTTGAAAGTAAAATATGTTAGGTACGCAAGACATAGTCAAAAATGACGGAAACTAAAAACGTCAAATGTCACACTCAAGATCTCACCACTTGGCCTCATCATATCTATTGCGGAACATATATGATCGATCTACCTCCTCCTCCTACTCCGTCTAATGTCCAAAGTATTATTCCGTACAAAGTATTATATTCGTTCTTGCTTTTTAAAAAACAAAAATTTACAAAGTCGTACGGAAGTAAAAAATACTAAATATATATATTTCAAAATTCCATTAAAGTTTCTACAAAATAAAAATATGATAAAAATACTTTCTTTTATCAAATAATCAACCAAAACTCATAAATAAATAAAAATTATCGAATATATGTTTACTTTAATTTCTTAGACCAAAACACACTAATTTTTATTCTTTTAGAAATGCAGAGAGTACACCCGATATAGAATTTTTTTTTCAATTTTTTGTCATTTTTTAAATAAATTAAATTTAACTTAACTTTGGTCAAATAGTCACAAGCTGAAATGAAATATCAACTAAATAATGAACGTGCACGTGCCGGATAATTCTTTTGTTTTTTATACACCCTTCGTCTCAAATTATTTAGAGCGTTTGTTTTTTTTGTAGTTGCGAAAATTTTTGTTTATTTCTACGTTTTCATTGGTTATTTAATAAAATAAAACATTTTTGACACCTCTTATTTTGAAGAACTTTTCATGTAGTTTTTTGAGATATAAATTTTATTTTTTTATTTCTATACCAATATGTAAATAAAATGAATTGAAAAAACTTGATATTTTGTCTCGAGAATACAAGTGTGACAAATATTTAGGGACGAGGGAGTACAAAATAGTACTCCGTAGCAATCTTTTGACTTTATATTAGGCGATGTTTCTCTAATTTATTATTTATTCTTATTGAAATCAGATCAGATCAGAAATAACTTTAAATATAATCACATTGAAATTAAATCAGAACTAATTTCAATAAAATCAGAATCAATCAGATCAAGTGAACAGAACATGGTCTTAGTCACATTTCTTACAAAGATTACTTATTCAACATAAATTTTAATTAAAGAGAAGATTAATAACACTAGTGGGCAAAGAATATCATATCTAAGGCCCAATTTTCTCATTAACTTTAGTAAAATAAAAAATAAATAAATTTTGAAATCTTCCTCATCCCTTTTTGCATCTTTTTTCCAAAGCGTATGTTTCTTATTCTCTCTCACTGTCTTTAATCATCATCTTCATCATTAATTTTGGAGTTTTTATTAACAAAAATATTTAAATCCCAAATTGTCATATACTCATATCTTATACTTCCTCCATTTCATAAAGTTATTTCATTTTTAGAAAATTTAAAGGAAAGAGATATTTTGTGTTGATTTTACAAAAATAAGTAAAAGTATGATGTAATAGGTAAATTATTTGTAAAAAAGTATGATATGATATATAGGGTAAGAATTAGTATTAGTAAAAGCAAGAAGGACTTTTTGGGACGGATAGAATTGAAAAGGTATATGCATTTTTTTAAACTTGGTCATATGTTTTTAAAATTATTATTTTATTGTATTTTTACAACTCATTGATTTCCAAACTCTTTTTTCAGATATTAAAACTCATATGATTTCACCTAAATTATTTCAAAATTTATATTTTGTCATATATCCAAAACTCATCAAAGAAGTCACGCGGCCTCCGTGTTTAGTTCCAACTTTTGGAAAAGACTACTATGTTCGATTATTGCCTTCCCATTTGACTTTCCAAGTTCTCTCAAGCAACAATATTTTGACCATTAAAATCTACATTTATATTCATGCATAACTATATTGAATAATATTTTAAAAATACAAAATAAATATATTGATATATCTTAAATAGATAACACGACACAAATACACAATACTTTTATGCCGCATATTGTGGTCAAAGATTAAAACTCTTGGCCAAAAAAAGTCAATTGAGAAGTTATTTCTCGGGCAAATTAAAGGAGTATCCAACAGTAGTTTTTGGTGTTAATATTGTCAAATTATCCTACACAATCCAGAAATAATGTAAAATACAAACATTCATCACATATTTAAAATTAATTATAAATAAAGAGGAATTTACTTAAATAGCACTAAAACATAATGACCTTCTCTAAATAGCATTACATATGTTTTTCTTTCCAATGTAACACTTTTAGTCATTATGCATTAGTCATTATTCAAGCATATATTCACCATCATTGGACATTATGGACATTATAAAGTGTTATTTAGAGAATAAAACAATTTAAGTGTTATTTAAGAAAATGACTTAAATTTTAATGCTAGTACAAATATTTCATAAATAAATTTTACTCCCCCATCCCAATTTTCTATCTATTCACGGTATTCAACGCAACACTTTTGACGGTCAAGGGAGGAGGGAGGGAAGGAAGGACTATAGTACCTACCACATTTGAAATAATGTGGGTTAGGGCACATAGTAATTGCAATATAAATAAGGATGCAATGCAATGGCTCTCATCATATCTATCAAACAAAGTTCAATATATTTCTCTTTCTTTGCTTAAAATAATTGCAATAATAATATTTGGTATATGATGGGTAGTTCTATTGGGAGTGTGCTCAGCCTAGCACTAAGCCTCATAGCACTAACCCTTGCCGGTTACTCTATTTACCAAAACACCCACACGGCCATTATTGAGGGCCTGCAGCTTAATAAGGCTATTACCGACACTTTGGATGAGTCGCCGGAGAACATGCTAGTTCTGCCGCCGCTCGATGAATCCTCCGGCATGCTTTCCGACGAAGCGTGTGTATTCTCCGCCGTCAAAGAAGTGGTGGTCGCCGCCATTAACAAGGAGGCTCGGATGGGTGCCTCTCTCATCCGTCTTTTCTTTCATGACTGTTTTGTCGACGTAAGTACAAATT